AAAAAAAAAAAAAAAAAAAAAAGCACACCTATATAATTATTCTTAATGGCTGTGAAGAAATTACACATGTACAATAGTTTATTTAACAAATCCCTCATTTAGGCTGTTTAGGCATTTATGCTATTTATAAGTTTTTACTGTTTCAAAAATGTAGTAAAGCTAATTGTAGTTAAATACTTACATTTTTCTGCCAGTTTCTTTCCTTGGTGTAGATTTCAAGAAGTGAAGTGACTGAGTGAAGGGGTGTGTTTTTTAAAGATTTAGTGCTGCACTTGCCAGGTGGCCCTGTGAGGGGTTTGCCTTCCCATCAGTGGCACTTGAAAGCGTTCATTTCACTGCCTGTTAACCACGTCAGAGACTATCTTTTTCATGTTTTCAAACTGGGTGATGAGAATGTGGTCTGTTTTTCCTTCTCCATTGATTTGCATTTTTGATTAGTAGTGAGGGTGAATACTTTTTAATGTTCAATAAATTAATATCAGCTGTTAAGTAAGAGAAATTCTTGAGCCTTGATGAATGACAGGATGTTGAGCGGGGAAAAGCCTTCAGGGGTTTGGGGAGCTGGGCTCTGGGGGTTGGGATCTCGAGGAACAATGATAGAAAAATGCATGAGCAGTCTTTGGGAGATGTTGGAAGTGAAGGTCCTCCTTTGGGCCAGAGTGAGTCTGAGATGCTTGGTGGACACATGAATGGAGATTTTCAGTGGATAGTTTAATACACAGGAGGTTGGGACTCAGGGGTGAGTCTGGGGCTGGAGTTAGGATGTAAGAATCGTGAAGAGGCAGGTGTTAGCAAAGATCATAGCTTTGGAGGAGGCCACCCAGGGGAGCTGTGGACTGGAGGGGGCACACAGGGCTGGGGAGACGAACAGTGAGAGCAGAAGATGATAAGGCAGGGAGTCACTGAGCCTGCGAAAGCCTTCAGATCTCAAGCATCAGGAGTAAACAAGGCTCAGCAGTGAGCCCCAGAGTATAAATGACACTTCCTTTGGCTTCTTGTTTGACTTACTCCATTAATTTTAACTGATGTAGATCGATTTCAGTGGCAAAAACACACAAAAACGCTCATTGCTTTACAACTTTACTAAATCATAAATATTAACTTCTTTCACTCTTTTTGAATCTGAAAAGTAAGAAGAAAAATCAGGACTTATTTTCTTTTTTGCCATAGATGCTCCCTGACCTTCACAAAGCCCCTCGTGGGAATCCTCCCCTCTGCCCACGTCTGAACAGATGCCCCTTTTTCACTTTAGGTGAGCTACTATTTACCTTTTCCAAACCTTACTTTTCCAGAGCAGTTCTCAGTGTCTTGAGATTCCAGTAGAAGTTGCTTTGAGGGGATGAGTGCTCACGCTGACCTTGTGCCTTGCACCTAGGCTGACACTTGCAGTAAGAGGCATCCAACACCTTTCATGTAAAATGTCAGACTCCTACCGCATTCCCTCCTTCCTTCCGAGCATCTGCTTTGTTCTTTGTGTGCTCAGCTCCTGCCCCTTTGGCTCCACCTCCTGTTTCCGTCCCGGGCATCATTACTGCGTGAACCTCAGCAGGACTCTGCATCTACTGTTTGACTCTGCTCCTCAGAGCTCTAGCCACCTCCCCTGTCCTTCCGTCTGCAGCTCTGAGGCCCACCTTTGACTTAGCCCACCTGGCAGTTCTCCTGATGAGTCTCTGGCCTCCCAGAGGCCGTTTAGCACATAATCCCTAAGGATGCTCTCTCATGGGGTGATCGTGGGGCCTCTTCACCAACCCCCTCTAGCAACTTACAAGCTAGAGGACAGTTTGCAATGGGTTCATTCATTAAGTCATCATATGTACCACCTCACCTTCTTCAAGCTCACTTGCTCTGGCATCTTCAACAATTTTCGCACCACATGAGAACTCCCCTTCTTTGACCTTCCCACGCCCATATCACTCCATTTTCAGTTCCTTCTTCCCTTGCTAACATGCTCGATTCTCTTATCCTTTTGCCTCTATTGTAATTTATGACAAACTTCTGACTCTGATTACAGCCACCCTCAACCCTGGTTAACCCATGGACCCAACTCTGCAAGTTACCTGGGAAAATTACATATCACGTGGAAGGGTTTCAATGAAAATTCATGACCACAAGCCCCACAGCTTGAGCCCTCAGCACTCCCTCATGGTTCTGCTACATTCTCCAAAATGTTTCCTACTTTTCAGCTCTTCTTGAAATTCTTACACCCCCTCCTCTTTGCTTCCCGCTCTCTTAGCCTCCAACCTTGACTTCCAAGCTACGGGATGGATGGGAAATCCCTCATCTTCCCTTCACTAAAGCTACACGCCTATCTGTCCCTGCATCCTGTTACAAGAGGGAGACACAGCTGCTGTTTTTCAAAGGCAAGCTCTTTCCTTTACGATCTGCACCATCTACCCACTCCTGCCTGTTCCAGGCTTTTATTTCTGCGGTTACTCTGTCTCTCTGCTTTGCATCGTCTGTTTCTCCTGTGTTACTGGCTCATTCCCACGGGCACTCAAACTAGCTATTTTGTTGCCCATCTTTAAAAGGACTGTTTATGGACCTGTCATGCTCTTCTAGCTGCAAGGCCATTTCTCTGTGGTTTCATAGCAAAACTTTTTGAAACAAATATGTTGTCCACATGTATTGCTGTACCTTTCTCAGTTGCTATTTACTTTTCACTTTTAAAACTTTTTTTTTAATTGAAGTATGGTCGATTTACAGTGTTGTGTTAGTTTCTGGTGTACAGCAAAGTGATTCAGTTATACATATATATTCTTTTTCATATTTTTTCATTATAAGTTATTACAAGATATTGAATATAGTACCCTGTGCTATACAATAGGACCTTGTTGTTTATCTATTTTATATATCGTATTGATAGTTTGTATCTACTTTTCACTTCTTAAAATGTGAGCTATATTGTGAAATATATCATGCATTCAAGAGTATGTAAAACAAATGTTTGTTTATATGTATATTTATATATTTTATCTATATAAATATAAGATATATTTAGAAATCTGTGTCTAGCACCTCAGCAGTCCCCTGTGTGATGCTTCTAAGCCACATTCCCTTACCTACCCCACAGGACAGTGGTCATACCCTTCACAATCTTAGCATTATCAGACTTCTTAATTTTTCCAGCTGTTGAATATGAAATGCTGGTTCACTGTGGTTGTAATTTGCATTTACCGTATTGCTAATAAGGTTAATCACCTTTAAAAATGTTTATTGACCATTTGACTTTCCTCTTTGGTAAAATTCCTGTTTACATCTTTTTGTTTGTCTTTTCTTATTGAGTAATGGGAGTTTTTTCTTTATATCCTATGGTGCTGATGGTATTATATGTGTTGTAAATAACTTCAGCCACTTTATGTCTTGTATTTCTACCTTCCTTGTGGCATCTGTTGATGCACAAATGTCCTTAATTTTAATATAACCAAATTTACCAATCATGTCTTTTATGATAGGTCTTTGTTACCTGTTTTAAAAAAATCTTTGCTTACCTCGAGGTCATAAACATCTTCCATATTTCCCTTAATGTTTCAAAATTTTGCATTTCACAGCTAAGCTTTAATTAAATTTATTTATTTTTGGCTGCGTTGGGTCTTCGTTGCTGCGTGCGGGCTTTCTCTAGTTGTGAGGAGCGGGGGCTACTCTTCATTGCAGTGCGAGGGCTTCTCGTTGAGGTGGCTTCTCTTGTGGAGCACGGGCTCTAGGTGTGCAGGCTCAGTAGTTTCAGCACGGGGCCCTAGAGTGCACAGGCTTCAGTAGCTGCAGCGCATGGGCTCAGTAGTTGTGGCTCGCGGGCTCTAGAGTGCAGGCTCAGTAGTTGTGGCGCATGGGCTTACTTGCTCCGCGGCCTGTGGGATCTTCCCAGACCAGGGCTCGAACTCATGTCCCCTGCATTGGCAGGCGGATTCTTAACCACTGCACCACCAGGGAAGTCCTAAGCTTTAATTTATCACTCAAATGCAAATGAGACAAATGCTCCAGCTAAAATACAAAGATTGAAATTTTAGAAGTCCAGTTAAATGCTTAAATTGTCAATTACATGCTTAAATTGTCAAAGTCTAAAATTAATCAATAACTTTATCCTACACCTGCAAAATATAAGGACTGAGAAGATTCATTCTCTAACCTCTTTTTCCAACTATCTGTCATCACTAGTGTTGCTTTACGTTGCCAGTTTTCCTATTCACTTATTTATTACCACTTTGCTCTTCATTTCTTCTTTATCTCAGATGTTTCATCTGAATCACTTTCTTTTGCCTTTAGGCTTTCCTGTCCTGAGGGACTGCCAGTGGCAAATTCTCAGTCTTTGAAAATGCTTTTACTTTGCCCCTGTTCTTAAAAGATAGTTTCACTGGATTGCGATTTTAGGTTGATGGTTCTTATTTGACAGTATCATTCTTTTGTCTTCTGGTCTCCATTGTTGCTGTTGAGAAATCACCTACAAGTCTAATTGCCACTCCATTAAGGGTGATCTGTCTTTATTTGTCTGGTTTTTCTCCCTCTTTTGAAATCTGTTTTTCTTTTGGTTATTGGTGTTCTTCAGTTTTTCTATAGTGTGACCAGGTCTGGATTTCTTTTTTTTTTTTTTTTACCATGGTTGGTATTTACTGCATACTGGAACATATGCACTGATGTCTTTGTGGAAAGTTCTCAGTTAACCCATCTCCAAACATTGCTTGTTCTTCTCTCTTGCTCTCTCGATTACTTATAAAACTCTAATGCATCATATATTAATCTTCTCAGTGTCCTTCCCATTTCTCTTTACTTCCCGTTCCTGTTTTACAAGAAATGAAAGATGCATCGGCATTAACTGAGCAAAGTTGGGAAGGTGCAAGAGTATTTCAGAAGGAAGGGCGTGGGGTTGCTTGAGGAAAGCCGAGAGAAGGCTGGTGTGGCTGAAGCTCACAGAGTGAGAGGAGAGGAGTGGGATGAAGCTGGGGACGTGAGAAGGAGAAGCTGGTTCAGGGTCTTCAGCTAAAAAGCAGTGGGAACCATTGTGGGGAGACAGCGATGGTGACAGGATTAGATTTGTGTGCTGGAAAACTCACTCAGCCTTTGGGACAGAGAATGCATTGAATGAGGGCCAGAGAAGAGGTCAGGAGTAAATTAAGAGGCTACTGTAGTGTCCAGGCGAGACATGTCAGCTTGTCCTAAGGTGGCGGTTGTCGAGTTGAAGAGAAGGGAGGAGAATGAGAGACACTTAGGAGATGAAAACCAAGAGAACTTTGTGTTTTGGAAGTTCTGGCGAGTACAACAAGGACGGAACAGACATAAAGGACATACTGTGTTATGGAAAGAATACAATAAGTCGTGATTTCAGACTGTATACCTAGGGAATCTCAAGTCATCGACTAAAAACGACTTGAATTAGTAAAGTTACTTAGTAACCGTGAATTCCCTCACCCGATTTACTTTCTCACTCTCCAGGTGACTGCCTCACCCCTTCTCCTCTCTCCTCAAACCTCCAACACCTTTTCTGTCCTCCTCGCTTTCCTTCATGACCGTGGTTTCTAGTTCAGGGAAAACTAAAAGCAATCAGAAGAGAACTTCCAGAGGCTCCCATCACCATCCCTTCTCTCCTGTTCATATGAATATATGCCCTTATGGTCTAGCTTTTCCCCTGTTCCCAGAGGTGAATTACCCCCAAGGCCACACCCTCCACTTGTGCTCTGGCTGCCCCTCCCTTGATTCCCTCCAACCTCACCTTTCTCTTGGCATCCTCATGTGTTCTATTGTATTCGACTATCCCTATCAGCATAGAACAGGACATAATTTTTCCATTAAAAAGACCCCCTTGACCCTGTGTACCTGTCCAGCTACGACTCCATTTCTCTGCTCCCATTTGCAGTAGTGCTTCTTGGAAGAGCTGTCCACCCCCACTGTCTGCAATTCCTCCCTTCCCCTTCTCTTTCTTGAATACACTCAGTAAGTCTGTGCTCCTACCTCACCACCTAGCCTGCTTTGATTAAGGTCACGAGTGATATTCTTGTTTCTAAACCCACATGGACTGTGGCCCCTAACCTAGCGACACAGGGGCATTAATGGCCTCAAGGTAGGACAGACTGTGTGTGTCTCCACCCGCTAAGCCTCCGTGTGGGCTCATCTCCAGCGGAGGGACATTCTTGCTTAGCTTTTCCTCCTGCTGTGTCCTGCTTCCCGTACTAACCCTAACCCTTCTCCCAAGGCTACGCTCTAAATAAACTTCTTGAACAGATATCCTTTCTCAGGCTCAGCTCCTAGCAGCCCAGCATGCCTCATCCCTGGATGTTCAAAGGAAAGCTGTCACATCTGTGTCAAATAGGAGACTTTCCCTACTGTCATAATTAACCTTTGCCAAGATGCCAGTCTGTCGTGTGTCTGATATTTTCGGAGCTAGTTAAGAGGTTCTGCTTAGGTCCTCCTGTCTCCCTGACCTAGTTTCACTCAGATGAGGATAGCTTGCTGTGAAAATTGAAACTAGCCTCTAGCACAGTGGCCAAAAATTAACATAGATCTGGCATATGGAAGGTATTCAGTACACACCTTCGAATGAAGGAATCACTTACTTTAGGCCTCCGATGGACTCAGTCCATTTGTCTCGTATCGTTGCTGTGCTAGTCAGTATCTTCTGCCCTCTAACATCTGGAACGTTGAGTAGATGCTGACTTCTTCCATAGAAGCAGGACATAAACTAAAAAGACGAAGCTTCTCTTCTTCTAAACAGCACGCTCCTTGAGAATGCACAAAGGGCCTAGCACAGATGTCTTCACAAAACAGTCTCTTAGCAAATGACACTTCAGAGTGTCCAAGAACCTGTGGTTAGAAGAAATCTTAATGGACATTTATTGCAGCCACTTCCTGTTCTAATCTTTCCATCATGTGGTGAGGCAGCATAGGCATGGATCCAATGCAAACATGCAGTAAGGTTTGTTAAGCCATTTTCTGGCAGCCTAGTTGATCTCTGGATGGCTCTGATTGGTAAACATCACTTCTTTTCTATTCATGTATTGTTGTGCCTTCTCATTCCCATTCACTGGTCTAAATTCTACCGATTAGGGCAATATTAAACACCTAACTCCTCTTCCACAGGTTGCCCATTCAGATATTTGAAAGTAATCATCCTATTTCCTCTGAGTTTCTTTGACACATGTCTTTCTGTACTTATCAAAATCCAACCCATTTAACATGCTCTGATTCCCATCTCGTCTGTCTTCTCAGGGGTTTCTGCTCCCTCTCTCTGCTCCACTGTCAATCTCTCCCTGCCTAATGCTTCATTCCTGTTAGAACTATACATAATCTGGGATAGTGTTTCCCAACTCTGGCAGACTCGACATCCCCCCTTTTTATAGCAAATATTTTGCAGTCCTCTCTTTCCCTTCAACAATGGCATTCATTGACAATACAACTTATACCTAGTAGAGTCTTAATAAGATGTGTTAGCCATAAAAAAATAGAGAAATAAAAGGAATGCAATTATAATGGGGACATTTATTTTTATATGTCAATACTTGGGCTGTGTGGTAGGTAGCTTCTTAAGTGGCTTCCAGTTAAATTATCCCTTTGTTTCATCCCTTCCCCTTGAGCATGGGGTGGACCAAGTGACTTGCTTCTAATGAATGGAATACAGCAAACTGATGGGATGCTACTTCCAAGATTGCACTACTAAAACTTTGACTTTCATCCTCTCTCTCTCTCTCTCTCTGGTTTTTGCTTATTCTAATGAAGCAAGCAACCATATAGAGCGGACCGTGTTGAAACAAATTATGTATACAACCTCTGGCCCATTCCCAGTGAGGACCTGAGGCCCTCAGTCCAAAAGCCTGCATGGAACTGAATCCTGCAACAACTACATGAGTGAGCTTAGAAGTGGATCCATCCCCAGTTGAGCCTCCACATGAGGCTGTAGCCCCAGTAGATATCTTGACTGCAGCCTTATCAGAGACCCTGAGCCAGAGGAACTGGCTGAGCTGTACCTGTACTCCTGACCCAGAGAAATGTGAAATAATAAATGGTGTTCTAAGCCACTAAATTTCAGGGTAATGAGTTACTCATTAGTAGAAACTAACACTCCATGATGAAGTGGTCAGATGCTTGCATCTGTTTCTAGGGAATCATTTGGATTTAAGAGAAATAAGATCAGAAGTTGTTCTGAACGGAAAGTTGAGGAGTGGAAAAGAGCAGAGATGTGAGTGGACACACCGATTAAAACCAATGTTAGATTACAAACTAGTTTTAGGAAAACCAGAAAGACTCCAATGTTGACAAAAATCATCCCTTTTATAGCCAAGTGATCATCATACCATATATTCTAAGTTTAAAAACTTAATGAACAATGAGATCCTTGATGTTTTACTTCCCTGGAAAAGCACAGTGGTTTGTTTATAGAACCTAAATGTTTTCCTGGACAAATGCTAAAATCTTTTAAAAATGCACATTATCAATACTTTGAAATAATTATTTTCCCCTTAAATATGTGCCAACCTTTGACTATAGCTGCATTTTTTCCTTCTCTGCTGGGAATCAGTATGTCCTGTCTTCCCTATTCGATTGTATGAGGCTCCTTCTTCCCTGATGACCGTGGGGAAAACCTTGGAGGGGCTTCATAGTCTGTAGTCTTTTTCTCACAAGGGTATAAAATAAGAGGATGAGGGAAATATCCTAAACTGAACTGGGAAAGTTGATAACATGTCAAGATAAGTTACAGACTCAGACTGTTAAAGTGAAAAAATGAGGAAGTATGGTAATCTTATGTGAGCTCAGCGCTATTTGCTATTTGTAAGTGTTGGGACAAAATAATTTTCTTTGTTGTGATATGGATCAGGGTGGCGATAGTGTTACAGAAAACAAATCTCTTTGCAACCCATGTTGCTGTAGAGCATATAGTCAGGCATAATTTTGGTTGAGATACGTGGAAATTATGCAGGATTCAGAGCTATCTTATTTTTGCAAACTACCCTGTGCAAGGCAGGATATCTGACATCCCTGGCTCTTGCCTAGTAAATGCCAGTAGTTCCCTTTAATAATTGTGACAATCAGAAATACTCCCACAAATTTTTAAAACTCCCTTCTGAGTGGTGGCACCCCCATTGAAAAATCACTGCTCTATTATTTCTTTAAAACTCATCATCAAGTCCTGTCAACGCAACTGTCAAAACAAACCCTGCCATTCGTAGTGTGATTAGTCCTAGAGCAAGGCTCCACCCGCAGCTCGGGAAGGGAGCATAAGACAGCTAAAGTCAATCAGTGCGTTCTATTCATCAGATGCCAATCATTGGTTTAGGGTACGTGACCCAGTCAGAGCTGATGACACAGAATGGAGCTTTTGCTTAGCATCTGGGGAAAGAGACTGTGGTCTTTGCAGCCAACTTGAATGACAGAGGTTGTAGGGTGTGGAGCTGCTGTAGTCACTTTGCATCTTGTAGAGCTATAGTAGAAATCAACCCAGTGGAATGCATCATTGGCACTGGGTTCCCTGCAGGTGATTCTTTCCAGGCTGTAAGTACTGCTAGATTTGAGGAGAAGGAAACTGTATTTCTACTTTAGGGGTTAAGGGGTACATAACAGCATGGCTAGAGAGGAACTTATTTGTGTAATCTGTGATCCTCGTACTTTCATAGAATATTTTCACTGCACTGCTTTGATCTCTGAACCAGTTATGTTGTTTTCAAGGCTACAACCTGTGCCCTTAGGGGAGGGAAGAGAAAGCAGGGTCAACACACAGGTGCACAAAAACAGTTTCCCAGTACCAATTATTTTGTTTATTGTCTGTTTCCCCCACTAGAGTGGAATCTTCATAAGGGCAAGAATTTTCACCTGTTTTGTTCAGCGCTGCATCCCCAATGCCTCGGACAGAGCTGCTGAGAAAAGCAGAAAAGGTTGGTTTCCTGGTTTTCTATATTTGCTGCCTAAATAGTATTCATTGATATCCACTCCCTTTCTGTTTTTTAACTTTTTGTTATGGAAAAAATTTAAATATATGCAAAATAGAGAATACATAGATGCATCTCCTCGTCCCCATTACCCAGCTTCACCATTGTCATGGCCAATTCAGTTTCATGTACACCTGTCTCCCAGTTCATCACCAACATCACCAGTGAAGGTTGTAACAGCGGTGCTTCTCCAGCAAGCCGAGGACTGTCAGGGCCTCACCCACCTCCAGGGATGGGGCTTTGTTTCCAGCTGGCAGGGGGATGATCCAGTGCTGCAATTCCGTTTTAGAGTTTATTTCCTTGGATTACTCCTGGCACCAACTCTCTGAGGTTAGGTTCTCTGGGAAACAGATGTGGAGATGAAGATTTGTGTGAAACAAGTTTCCTGGGGAGTGACCGTGGTGTCTTTGCCTAGAGAGGAATAACAGAAGTAACCCTGAGCAGCAGAAGTTGAACTGTTGCTGTGGCTGTAGCTGTGGCTGTAACAGGGCCTCCGGTGACGGTCCCACTGGAGCCTGAGCTGGGACAGCCTTTTCTTTTTTTCTTTATTTTTTTTTCATTTAACTATTTGAATTCAAAACAAGACCTATTTGTTGGAATGAAAGCATGGTAATAATATAAACTGTAATTAATTTGGCTCCATTTTTACTCATTCATAGATAATCCCTAGCACAGTTCTAGGTAACAAAGATACCACTGTGAACAGTGCATAGATAGGGTTCCTGTCTTTATGGAATTAATTAATTAATTAATTTTTGCTGTGTTGCGTCTTCGTTTCTGTGCGAGGGCTTTCTCTATTTGTGGCAAGCGGGGGCCACTCTTCATTGCGGTGCACGGGCCTCTCACTATCGCGGCCTCTCTTGTTGCGGAGCACAGGCTCCAGACGCGCAGGCTCAGTAGTTGTGGCTCACAGGCCTAGTTGCTCCGCGGCATGTGGGATCCTCCCAGACCAGGGCTCAAACCCGTGTCCCCTGCATTAGCAGGCAGATTCTCAACTACTGCACAACCAGGGAAGCCCTGGGACGGCCTTTTAGAACTGGCCTACCACGAGGGAGCTCCAGGCCGCTATCTCCTTCCATGGACCAGTCACTGGACGCCGTGAGCCTGGGCAGGGCGGCTCCCTTCACTGGGGCCAATTCCCAGGGAGGGACTCAGCAGAGGGCCCAGAGCCACCAACACTCCCAGTAGCTGGGGGACGATGCGGGGGACCCGGCACCGCTGTAGCCACCACTGTCCCCTTTTAAACGCCTGTTGACCCGTCCAGCCCTTATTAAGCATTGCTTCTCCCCAGGCTCCACTCAGGCTTTTTCTTCTTTGACTTACATTTCTTTGGGGGAAGGGGAGATGCATGACATCTAGCACCCTGGCTTTAGCTAGCCCCGTGCCTGGGTCCCCAGGGTTCCCTGCCCCCTGGTTTATACTTCTGTTTGCACCTGGCCCCTCTGGACTGCCCACTTTTTGCATTGCCTGATTCTCCCCCCACTCGGCCTTAAGTGCCTCCCTGCCCTGCACGCTGTGGACCCAGGCTCCGCCTCCCAGCATGATGTCTCAGCCCACCTGGGAGTGGACATGGGGTACGTTACATGCATATTTCCTGTCTCAGTTTCCAATTTTGCTCCATCCTTCCATCCCCCAAATCACCATCCATCACCCACACTGCTGCTGGGGGACAGTTCCTCAAATACACATTTTGATTCATGCAGGAATAGTTACTGAACACTTGCAGTGTCCTGCCTACATTATATTCTGGGGCTGCCATGGTTGAGTGGTGCAAATAAAGTTTCTGCTCTCGTGGAGCTTACATTTCAGTGGGGAGATACAGGCAATTACGGCACAGAAATGAATAAAGGAATGAGCGAACCGATAAGTCAATATGAGATAGTAGTAAATGCAATGCCAAGAATTAGAATAATGTGATAGAATGATGGCCGAGCTAGCAAAGGTCTCCCATTGTGTTATGGGTACGATTCAGATTCTAATTTGGCACGAAAGACTCCGTGGAGACAAGTTCTGCCCCCCCTCCCCCACCCCCACCTCCCACCCCCACCCCCCACTCCCCCGCCGTGAGGGCTGACTGAGGGGTGTGCGGCGGGGAGGACGGTCTTCCTGCCCTTGGACTTGGTTGTTTGGGGTCGGCTTTTCCTGCAGGGCCCGGCCGGCTGCCTAGGTTCCTCCTTCCCTGTCTCCTCTGACTTCCCTTATCCCCCTGGGACCCCCTGTGCTGGAACAATGTAACTTGTGAGCCACAGTGACAAAAGCCCAGCTGGCCTCAGCGGGTTTGTTCATATCAATGACTGAACCCAGACAGTTAACGATCCCTTTCAACAGCAGCTTCTGCCGTGATTTTGGGGAAACGCTGACTAGGACATGACCTTTGGGAGGAGAGATTTTTGTGTTCGTTTGTTTGAAGCCATAGGTGCAGGTCTCGTTCCTATTGAACCCATTGCTGGGGCTGATTTGCAGCCCTGCACTTAGCCTTGTCCCCTCCCAGCCCGGCACCCCGTCCCCAGTTCCACCTCACTGAGGCTATGGAAGGAACCTGTGCTAAGGAGGAACACTAAACACCACCCAAACGAAACCAAGCATGTTCTCGGCGGGTTCCACGTCGCGGCTGATGATTGCTCGAAAATCCCCGTTCTTATCAGGAGCCCGTGACCGCATTTCCCTGCGCCCCTCGCTGGTCAGCACGGATGAAAGTGGGAAGAGAGATTTCCCCCTCGGCTCAGAAACGGAAGGCCCTGGCAACCTTGCTTTTCTTACTTATGGGGGCACCTGATCATTAACCCGAAGACACGGATTACCGATTCCCTAAGTGCCCCTGATGTCCGGCCGGGGCTCCTGCCCCTCCTGGCGCCGCCCCTTCTCCCCTTGGCTTGGGCACAGCTTCCATCACCTGCGGCTCACCTCCCTCCTTCGCAGACCTGGTCACTGTCTTCCCTTCGGCTCCCCCTAGCGGCAAGCACGGTAAATCACCCGTGCTTGTAACCGAGCCCTGGTTACAACAGCTCCTGCTCCAAGGCAGACTGAAAAGATACTGAAACGAGAGAAAGACAAACATTTACCACTCAGAGGAGGTCCAACTTTTATTTGAACCAGACAGGCAGTCCCGTTGGAAATCGTGAGATATTTGTTCTTTATTGTTTGATTACACATACAAAAATAACACACGAAAAATTACAGCTGTATAAATCAGACTTTGTAACTTATACAGTGGAGCCTCTTAGGTGTTTTTTCAACACAAGTGATGAAAAATAAAAACATTTGTGTCTGAACGTTTATATCTGAATTGCGATGTGAATGAACTTGGTTCTGTAAGACTGATATTGATCACACTGACTGCCCTTTTGAGAGCAATCAGGTAGTTTACTGAAAGAGAACTGTTAACACTAGGGTTATGTCTGTATTTCTGAGGCTGACAGTCTTAAGAAGTGGGGTGAGCCGTATGGTATGAAGAAGGCTAGGAAGACCCTTCTGTGGCTAAAAGTTTTACCTTGTGTCACGAGGTCTGAAATGATACACTTACCTTGAGCTAAAGTCAAACGCTCATATCAATAGGCAGATGTCATTAGAATCAATGAATTATCAGCTCTTTTTCCTTTCCATTGTTAAGTCTCTAAAAGCCTAACTCTGAGCCACTGGGAAGAGGTGGGGAAAGGGTTCTGTAAGGAGCTGGATCTATGTTCATGCCTCGGGGAAACTAGAGAACAGAATGAGAAGTGGGGACAGAGGCTGGGGGAGCCTCTTAAGAGGTGGAAAGAGGGGGTGAATAGGAGCTCATAGCTTTCCCTTCAGCTGTCCTCAGGCACCACTTTTAAAAGTTTCTATTTCATGAGTCTCTATGAAAATTTCTCTCTCCAAAATGTCAGCAGTCCAAGTCTTTCAGGAAAGAACGTTTATTCTTTAATTTACCCAAGTGTTAACGCGCTAAATCCTCCCAACAGCGTTACGTGGTAGGCACTCTTATAATATTCACTGCACAGATAAACGGAGGCTCAGAGAGGTTAAGTGACTTGCCTAGAGTAAGCAGGGGGACAGATTCCAGCCTGGGAGGCACCTTAGCACACGTTCTGGAGCTGCCCTTCCAGCTGGAGGAGCGCACGTCTGGGCTTCGGAAGCGTGAGCCGATCAGATCCTCGCAGTGGGTCGACCGTGACCTTTTAGGGCCCGTTGATTGATTATCAGTCAATCCTGAAAGGATAGTCTCTCACTGAAGCTTGATTTAGCACACAGAATTCCACCTTATCCTTCAGGATTCTGAGCAGATGAGTTAGGTGGAATCTGGGTGGCCTCAATTTTTTTGAGTTTGCGTGATAGAGATAAGAATACTCTTTACCCCCCAATGGACACCAATTTTATCAATTACTATTTGTAGAACAAAGGCAAGATTTCTTTAAGAACGCTTTTTCTTGGTGGTTTAAGTGTTTAAAAATGACCAATGTAAAAATTTCACAGCAGTAGGAGCTGGAAGACTCATGCTCTGTGACCTTGACTGTGCTTGTCACTGCACAGCGTATTGTTCTGGGGGGACCAAAGAAAGATGGAGGAAAAAACCCAGTCCACGACTGAAACCCACACTCACTTTGTACATGCCGACAATCCATTGAATTAAAAGAGCGATTAAAGAGAGATCAAACTCACTCTTGTTGTAGGCGCTTTTTTTTTTTTTTTCCAACTGCGATTTTATCTAGCATGTTAGCATAAACCTGTGTGGTTAGAACTGTTACCAAGGGAAGGAGATCTAATTCCAGATCAGCCAGTGAAAGCTGGGTAGTTTTAACCACCGACATCTGCAACAGCTAAATAAGACCCTTGACGCCTCCGCTATGCAGTGTTTTCTACTGTATTTCTGGAAATGTGCTCAATTGTCACATAGTAAAAAATAAATATTGGGCCGGTTCCCAGGGATGGTGGTGCTCTTAAAAAAGTGATTCCAGGGCTTCCCTGGT